CACCAAACTTGGATCAAATCATTTTGATATTCCAGGTGTGGTTTTTCTGGTTTTGGGGATTTCCTCCAGCTGCAGAACCCCATCATCCTCACGGCCTGGGCTCCCAGAGTGAGGGTGCTTAGGGCTACCCCACCTGATGGATGTGAGACTACTTGTCTCCAGAAATGCATCCCAGCCCTCCCAACTGGCCAAGGCAAGGAGACTAGCCACTGGCCATTGCACTGGGGGCATCCCCTCACCCCACAGCTTCCCAACTTGAAATCCAGATTTACCTCCAGGGAGAGGTGAGAAAAAATTGTAAATAGACTTGCTACAGAGCAACTCAGGGTTGGGGTGTGTTTTAATTCTCCTGATCACTTGAAATAATCTGTAGGCTGAGTGCTTATGGGAGTGGGGGAAAAATGTGACTCCAGGGTCCTTTCCTTCTGCAATGCTCTGGGGGTGGAGTATAGGGCATCTGAGGCCCTTTGATGGCACTACACTGAGCTGTCTGTCCTTCGGGAAACCCAATCTACAGTCAACTGCAAATCCAATTCTTCACATTCCAGTTGTAGCCTTTCTTTCCCTACTGAATCTCAGTCCCTGGCAATGTGGTCAAGGTGGCTTTCTGTAAGCCGCCCTGATTTAGGGAATGGAAGGCATTACAACTCTGCCTTCAAGACTCATCTCTTAAAAGCAAAATGAAACAAAACTACAGCCACCTTCCAAACACATAAAAAAATTTGAAGGATAATTGTTAAGCTGAAGGAAGGATTTGGTTCCATTCAACTCCACGGTCATTGTGCCTTTACTTGTGTTAGATTTCTGTGCTTTCTTCCTCTCTCTCTTTGAAGCAATTAAAATCTTCCTTGATAACTATTTCCTTCTTTCTACTCTTGTTTCTAACACCTTAGTGGGTTTCCTCTCTAAGTGTCTTAAATCTCATTCCACTGGTGGCAGAGGGGCCAAGCCTTCTTTTCTCATGTCTAACCTTTGTCCTTTCCCACGGGACCAGCATGGAAGTCCTAGTCAACACTGAATAAAAGACTAGAGTGATGTGTGCAGTGTGTGTGCAGTGTGTGTGCAGTGTGTGTGTGTGTGTGTGTGTGTGTGTGTGTGTGTCCATCTTTGCATGTGGATCAGTTTATTTTCTTTTAAAAAAGTAATTTATTGTATGATTTATTTTGGAGATATATTCCAATTGCAGTGCTCCCTCCTAATAAGCAGTGATTCCTCCCACCCCCCACCCCCCACCCCTCTACAATGTATAATCTGGTCTCAGGTTGGATTCTTTGGTACACTTCTTTCTTCTGGAAGCCGTGCAGTTTAATTAAACCTTGCTTAAAAACAAAAACAAACACCTGAAAACTGTGTACTCTTGTCTGGAACACTGCCTCCAGTGGTGGCATAGGGAGCGGAGAACATTTGTTGCTTCTGGTGAGTGTGGTGGTTTGACTCTAGAACCTCTAAGAAGGTAGCTACACTGACTTGGGCAGAAGCATCTGCAGCTTCCCAGGGGTCTTCCTTCCTCCCTTCCTGCTGTATTTTGAATATCACAGTTCTCGTTACCCATGCTCACTGGGTGACTGTGGTAGTTCTGGTCATCATTTACGTTTGCCATCTTACCTTCCCGATGCCCATGATTTCAGGGGACCCAGGAGGCGCTCTGGCCTTGTGTCCTCTCCTTACATCTCTTAGGATTCTTTCTACCTGTGTTGCATGGCAGATTGTCCCACTGAGGTATGGAAGAAAAGGGTAGGGACAGCAGATGGACTGTATGTGTCTATTGTTATTGTGGGTGTTGGCTTTTTTTCTTCCCTGCTTTTTATGTTGCAATCTTGGCTGGCTTTCTTGAACTTTGACTTGGGGTGTGAAAAATGAACCAGACATTCTCTGCTTACTGTGGTCAGCTGACATAATCACCACTAAGACTTAATGAGCTCACCTTGCGCTTTCATCGCTAGGAAAGATTTTGAAATTATTTCCCATACTGATTCATAATGGGTGTGTGTATGAGTCACTTTCACGTAATTTAGATATAAAAACTTAGGGAGGGGGGAAAGGCCTCCTTTCATTTTCATCCATACTTCCCAGATTGGCTGAATCCCTGATTATTTGACCCATCATTGTTATTAATATGATTAATAAACTACCTATTTATTGATTTAATTGTTCCTCCTGTGACTTTAGCCCTCAAATGGAGCTTGCCTGAATGACCCTCAGTTTCCTAAACCTGTAAGATTTCTCTGTCCTGTTGGGGTGATACTGCTAGTCTCTGCATGTGTGTGTGTGCATGCATTTGTGCACACATACACAAAAGGATATTGGACAGGCCCTTCCATTGTGATTTGATTCCTTCCCTCATGATACTGTGTATCAGTTAGCAGGTGATAAGGACACTAGTCTCATTATTACTGAGACACAGCTGCTTACTGTGAATGTTTCGGTTTTAAGTATTTCCTGGCCCAGCACAGCCACAAACTGTGACTCGCTACAAGGATGGGGCCTGTCTCTGACTTTCAGTTACTCTGCAGACAGAGGTAAGAGAACTAAAATGTCAACCTCAGGATCCTAACCACCCCAGAGGATAACTACAGAGAAACGCTTCACATCTGACATCATTGGAGCCCAGTCTGGATCGCTTTTACACGTCATCAAATTCATTTTCCACTCCTAGGTTTAGGGGTGTGAGATTTAAAAGACTATATGCTATCCAGCTGCAAAGTGTTCATGGAAAAGGTAGAAATTCATTTGGCAGGGTTGTCCTCTCCATTTCTGCTGCAAGCATTTTATTGCCCAATTCACTCTGTGCCCCAGGCATCTGTTATATGAAGATGAATAGGACTGGTCTTTGCCTCCAAGGAGTTGAGAGTCTAGTAGAACACTTCAGGACAGCCACCAAGAGAAACCTATGTAGGTTATTAAAAGGCTTAATGGCACTTAGCCAGGGAAGGTGGATGGGGTGTGGCATTCCAGACAGAGGAAACAGCAAGGACAGAGGCCAAGAAGCAAGACAGTCCGGTGGCATGTGCAGCGTGTTCCTGTAGTATCAGAAAGGGAGAGCATCGTGTAGGTAACCTGGTAGAGACCCCTTCAATCCAGACCTTCTGTGATTCTCTGCCTGCTTCCACAGTGGTCATCTAATCCTGTAGGCTTACCTTGGACCGGTGCTTTTCTTCTGGTGAGTGTTTTCATAGGCTCCAGGTTGAATACTAAGTACTCATTGCTTCCTGGGCTCCCTCTAGCCCACTGTAACCAAGAGAGGTTTTCACCACTATCCCTTAAAGCTGGCTGGACACATGTTACCATTTCAAGTTATTAAGGATGGTTTTTAGGTGCCCAGGTTATCAAAATACATGAACAGTAAAGATTGCTTCCTGGGTTCTGTTGCTCTATTAAGAGCTCAGAAATGCCATCTGGTCTAAAAACCTCCATTCTCTGGGAACATTCTTCCCATTCATGACTGTGAATGCTGATCTCTATTGTAAATTTAAGCTCCTAGAGAACCTTCCCAAAATGTGCTCCCTTAATATCTCTTCCTATTTATTTATTTTTAAAGCTTTACTTATTTAAGTGATCTCTATACCCAATATGATGCTCAAACACACAATCCCAAGATCAAGAGTCGAATGCTCTTCTGACGGAGTGAGCCAGGAGCCCCTATCTCTTCCTATTTAGAAGTGTACAGAAGGCTTCCTATTTAGGACCTGTGTCTGTCTAATACTTCCACCTATGTTTAAGTGGTCAAGTGTTTGAGCTGCTGTCAGACTTCCCGAGTTCAAACGCCAGCTCTTCCACTTGCTGGTTGTGTGACCTTCGGCAAATTTAGTCAACCCCTCTATTTCAGTTTCCTCATTTGCAAAATGATAAAACCAACTTAATTCGGTGCTTGTGAGAATGAGATGGAATAAATAGAATACTTGAGCTCTGTGCCTGGCATGCACTTGAACACTCAGTATTTGCTCTTAGCTCCTGTATGAACTGGCTACAATTAACTGGTGATTGTAATAGCATTGTTTTCCTGTTTCTCAGCTTCATTGTTCTATTTCATTTGAAACTGAAGGATGAAAGATAAATGCTTGCCATCTCCTAGATTTGGGTTTTGGCCTTCGAGGGAACCTGAGGCTTAGCTAGGTTATTAGTTTTGGAGGCTGGCCTGTAAATTACCGCTCTAATTTATATTTTTCATTAAAAGCTCAGCTTGCCTCTTCTTCTATAGCAGTCTTCCCTGGCCCTGAAACCCTGGTGTTTAGCCATAAAAGAAGATTTTAAAATTAAAAGGCCATAATTCAACTCCCCACAATGTGTGGATTAATGGAATTAATGATAAGGTGCACAGAATATTATTTTTATTTTTAACAAAAGCAAAGACCTGCCCCTATTTCTTACGTTTGAAACACAAATCAGGGAACTACTGTGATCAAGGGTAGTGTATTTCTTTATGTGTAGAACTGGACAAAAAAAACATTCGCTGTTAGGAAATCTGGGTCCTAGGCTCCTCACCACCAGGAAGTTGCTGTGACCTCTAACCCTCTTCACGCTGGCTTTGTGTTTTGCAGGGTTGAACATTAGGTAAATAAGTGCCTAATATTCTGCCTGGCACCCAGAACGGCCTCCCAAATGATAGGTGTTATATGGTAGCTCACTTAATATGTATCCCATTAGGGTAATACAAATGGATACGTTCGGCTGCGAGAAGAGGCAACCACACCTCCGCACCTTCAATGGAAAGAAGGGGGGGAAAACAGAGTCGCGTGCAGCTGAGACTACATCTCCCGCTGCCCTTTGCGGCGATCCTCGTCTGCTTTACCCAGAATCGCTCCCACGGCAACCTTGCGTCTTTCCGTGGGGCCCCGGATGTAGACTCCCTCTTACTCGGTGGGCGTGGTTTCACAAAGGCTCGGAGACCTGGGGCTCTCTTATTGGTTGTGGTCTTTCCGACTGGATTGGACGCGGAGGAGGGGGCGGCGGCCAAGGCGCGCGGTGCTGTAGCGACAGCCAATCAGAAGCCTGGACGGCCTTTGGCGGGAAGCGGTAAAGCTGAGGCTTTGCAGATTTGGCGCGAGCGCGGTTTGGCTTTACTGCTGCTGGTGTGTAGTTTATTCGGGAGCTTGACTGAAGAATCCCTGAAGCCGTGTGCGAGAGACGTGAGGAAGAGCAGGCACTGAGGTGACTCTGCCTTGTGGAGTGGAGAGCAGATGATTGCTCAGGGAGGCTTAGGGTCTGGAAGGCAGCGGAGTTGGGAGAGGGGCGATGACTAGGGCCGCAGCCTCCCTTGAGGTTCGAGGTGAAGTGAGGGAAGAGCTCAGATCGCCGGAGGTCTGAGATCGGGGTAAGGGAAAGGAATAGGCTGGCAGTCGTGCATGGAATAAAGGGGCTGAATGTTGTAGGAGGGAGATGTTCCTGGGTGGGGTTGAGAGGGTGTGGGGTGGGGACCGAGTGCCAGGCGGAGGGAAGACTGTAAATGTGGCCGGGTGCTGGGCTAAGCTGGTGATAAAGACACACCCCGTGCCTGGAGTGAGGGAATTAGAAGTACTGTAGAAATCTGTTAAGATAAACTTACTAAACTTACTGCATCACTCAAGTGGTTAAGAACTTGAGCTCTGGAGCCAGAAAACCTGGTTTGCTATGACTTTGGGTCTCTGTGCCTCTTGAGTTTTCTCATCAGTAAAGTAAGGATAGTAAGAGTGCCAACTTCTAGGGTCGTCTTAAAACTTAAATGAGTCAGTGCCTAAGGGGTGCAGGCCTGAATCATTTGGTAGAGTGTGCCACTCATGATCTTGGGGTCGTGAGTTCGAGCCCCACGTTGGGTGCAGAGACTCCTTAAAAAAAAAAAGAATAAAAGAAAATGCTTATAACAACAGTCTTCCACATAGTAGGTAGACAAGTGTTTGTTATTATTGCTCAGATTTGGCTGTGAAGCAGAACTGAATGCTAAAATATGATTATAATTTACTTATGAAATGTTGATCATTGGTATAAATTCCATGTTAGCTATTTTTCTGTCCCTCTTAGATATTGACTGGCTGTCCTGTTCTCTTTTTTGTACCCAGCCGTGTTGCCATCATGCCTCAAACCCGATCCCAGTCACAGGCTACAATCAGTTTTCCAAAAAAGAAGGTGTCTCGGACATTGGACAAAGCTAAAATCTCTGGAGACACCAAGCTAGAACTGACCAATCTCCAGGCCACACGCCGTTCTGTAAAAATTCTGCCTCTAAGCCCCAGAAAACGTCTCGGTAAGATATCCATTGTATATAAGAACAACTTTTTGACTTGTAGATATTGACCTCTCTTTCCTCAAAAATAAGATGCCTCGTCCTTTGAAGCAGCTTCCTAAGTTCATTTAAGACCACTTTGTTCACTTTGGTTATTTTCAGAATGATTGCTGTGTTCATTTACTGAACTTCAGAGTTAAGCGACTTGTTGAGATTAGCTTCTGAACTGCTTTACAGTTCGGTGTTCAGTTCCTTAATTTTGAACTTAGTTGTCAGTATTGTGACTTTGCAGTTAGCTATCTAGTATTTTGAAGCTTTCACTTCATTAGTGGTGAAATTAAGAGAAGCAGGTGATATTCTTGTTTTAGAACACTGGTTGGTAGGGGCGCCTGGGTGGCTCAGTGGGTTAAGCCTCTGCCTTCAGTTCAGGTCATGGTCTCGGGGTCCTGGGATTGAGCCCTGCATTGGACTCTCTGCTCAGCAGGGAGCCTGCTTCACCCTCTCTTGCGGCCTGCCTCTCTGCCTACTTATGATCTTTCTGTCTGTCAAGTAAATAAATAAAATCTTAAAAAAAAAAAAAAAAGAACACTGGTTGGTAATCCTTTTTTGCTTTAGATCATTTGTTTTTGTTTTTAAAGATTTTATTTATTTTTACGAGAGAGAGAAAGAATAAGCATAAGCAGGGGTGAGGGGCAGAGGGAGAAGCAGACTGTCCCGTGAGCAGGGAGCTCAGGGGGGACTTAATCCCAGGACCTGGGATCATGACCTGAGCTAAAGGCAGATGCTTAACCATCTGAGCCACCCAGATGCCCAGATCATTTGTTTTTAATGAAGGGTGATGTGGCAGTATCCAGAGACATTTTTTTTTTTAAGATTTTATTTATTTATTTGACAGAGAGAAATCACAAGTAAGCAGAGAGGCAGGCAGAGAGAGAGGAGGAAGCAGGCTCCCTGCAGAGCAGAAAGCCTGATGTGGGGCTCGAACCCAGGACCTGGGATCATGACCCGAGCCGAAGGCAGCGGCTTAACCCACTGAGCCACCCAGGCGCCCCTCCAGAGACATTTTTGATTGTCACAACTGAGGGATTGCTACTGGCATAATGGATAAAGGCCAGGTATCCTACTAAACATTTTATAATGCACAGGACAGCCCCCAATAAGAATTATTTGGTCCAAGATTGAGAAAAACACTCTTAGAAAAATCTTAGAATTTTCATCCCACTAAAAAGCCCTTTGCTGGGGCGCCTGGGTGGCTCAGTTGGGTTAAAGCCTCTGCCTTCAGCTCAGGTCATGATCTCAGGGTCCTGGGATTGAGCCCCGCGTCGGGCTCTCTGCTTGGTGGGGAGCCTGCTTCCCTCTCACTCTCTGCCTGCCTCTCTGCCTACTTGTGATCTCTGTCTGTCAAATAAATAAATAAAATCTTTTAAAAAATAAAAAAATTTTAAAAAATTAAAAAACAACCCCTTTGCTTTCTCCCAAATAGTTGTAAGATTCAGTGGTGCCATCTGGTGGCCAATGTTTGCTTCTTGAGGAGAGGCCGTCTGTTTTGGTGGTTTTAACTATAGAAATTTGCCTCTTGGGGGACCTGGGTGGCTCAGTCAGTTAAAAGTCTGCCCTCTGCTCAGGTCATGATCCCAGGCTCCTAGTACTGAGCCCCACATGGAGCTCCCTGCTCAGCTGGGAGCCTGCTTCTCCCTCTCCTTCTCCCCTCTGTGTTCTTTCTTTCAAATAAATAAATAAAAGAAGGAAGAGAGGAAGAAACTTGCCTCTTTCTGGGAAGAGAGATCTTTGCAAGTCCTTTTACTGTCCTCTACTATGAATGACCATGTTTTGATTTTAATGTATTTCAGGTGATGACAATCTGTGCAACACTCCCCATTTACCACCCTGTTCTCCACCAAAGCAAGGCAAGAAAGAGAATGGCCCCCCTTGCTCACGTTCACCTAAGGGGCGCAGATTGGTATTTGACAATCAGCTGACAATGAAGTCTCCTAGCAAAAAAGAACAAACCAGAGCTCACCAAAACAAAATCCGTTCGTCAGGCAGAAAAGGTCAAGAGATCACAACAAATTCTGAGCAGAGATGTCCACTGGAGAAAGAATCTGCATGTGTGAGACTGTTCAAGCAAGAAGGTTCGTTCTTATATGGCAACCGTTAATGCAGCCTTGAAAACAAGGCTGGTGACTCCAGATGAAACCCAGTGGATCTTCTCGGTCACCTCTGTTGTATCTAATTGTCCTTTCACATCTGACACAGGCACTTGCTACCAGCAAGCAAAGCTGGTCCTGAATACAGCTGTCCCGGATCGGCTGCCTGCCAGGGAAAAGGAGATGAATGTCATCAGGAATTTCCTGAGGGAGCACATCTGTGGGAAAAAAGCTGGAAGTCTTTATCTTTCTGGTGCTCCTGGAACTGGAAAAACTGCCTGCTTAAGCCGAATTCTGCAAGACCTTAAGGTACACTGAGAGTCCGAAATATGCTGCTCTTGCAAAAATGACACTTGGTTATGAAGGGTTAAGAAAGGTGGATGTGCTTAGGGGATTGAAGTCTCCCCTCAAATAAGATGTTTTTAGTTTCTTTTTCTAAATCTTTCCAAATGAAAATAGAGCTTATTCTCTTATATGCTATTAACTCCTCAAAGACACTTCAGGTTCCATCAAACCTTTATCTGGGGGCACCTGGGTGGCTCAGTGGGTTAAAGCCTCTGCCTTCAGCTCAGGTCATGACCCCAGGGTCCTGGGATCAAGCCCCGAATTGGGCTCTCTGCTTGACGAGGAGCCTGCTTCCTCCTCTCTCTCTGCCTGCCTCTCTGCCTACTTGTGATCTCTCTCTGCCAAATAAATAAATAAAATCTTAAAAAAAAAAAAAAAAAACCTTTATTTGAAGGCAAAATATCTCTCATGTTTGCATTTTTCTAGAAGGAACTGAAAGGCTTTAAAACTATCATGCTGAATTGCATGTCCTTGAGGAGTGCCCAGGCTGTATTTCCAGCTATTGCTCAGGAGATTTGTCAGGAAGAAGTATCCAGGCCAGCTGGGAAGGACATGATGAAGAAACTAGAATACCATATGACTGCAGAGAAGGGCCCCATGATGTAAGTAGTGCTCCGCTGCATGTTATTCTGTGAAAATCTGCAAGGTCTGCTGCTCACAAACTCACATTCTAGTCTCTTGAATGTATCCGTTTGTATGAGTAAAGAACATTTCCTGTATTGGCTGTACAGATAATTACATATGCTTAAAGGGAAAGAAGAGAGGAAAAATACACATTCTGATTTTAAGTGGGAAAAAGTGTTCTTAGGCTAATCGCTTGAAAAACCTGTATATTACTTTTGTGTCATGGTGGGGTTATCATTGTAATAGTGACTAGCAGAGAGGACAGATGATGACCTTCAAACTGGTGTCAGCTGTAGGAATGTGACCTAGAGTCACCCCAGATCTAACAGATGGGAGAGTTAAGGAGGTGAACATAGATACTAATTGTTTCTCTTTATACTTAGTGTGTTGGTGCTGGACGAGGTGGATCAGCTGGACAGCAAAGGGCAGGATGTATTGTACACACTATTCGAATGGCCATGGCTAAGCAATTCTCGATTGGTGCTCATTGGTTAGTGCTCCGTTGCTAATGTTGATGGGTCTAAAGAATTCTTTTTTTTATCGCTTCATCTTACTTATCACCTATTTTATCTTAAACCAACTTTCTGCTTTCTTATCAAAATGAAAAAAATTATTATAAAATAATAGTAGTTTTAAACTAAAATCAACTTTGTTAAGTCTGAATAGAATTGAGATAATACTTCATTTCAGAGACAGTTGATTTTTAGAGTGTCTGGTCCTGCTTATCAGTGAACAATTCTAAACCTAACTTGGAAAGAACATTCTCGAATGACTACGTACATCTTACCTAATAAGTGTGGGGGTGGGGTGGCGAGTGGGAAGCAACAGTTGGAATGCGGGATTATAACTGGAAATTGTATTTAGCTTTCAAAGCGTTTAATTTTCCTTTGGGATGATTTGACCATGATGGTTGATAGTACTTACCTTCTCCTCAGGTATCGCTAACACCCTGGATCTCACGGACAGAATTCTGCCAAGGCTTCAAGCTAGAGAAAAATGTAAACCTCGGCTGTTGAACTTCCCACCTTATACCAAAAACCAGATAGCCACTATCTTGCAGGATCGGCTTGATCTGGTAAGTGCCACCCATTGTACCACATTATGTGTCCCTTGGATCACCTCTGGTGGGGAAACCTAACAGTCTTTCTAAAATATTTTTGTTTAGAGGGGTGCCTGGGTGGCTCAGTCAGTCAGTTGAGCATCCGACTCTTGATCTCAGCTCAGATCTCAGTCTTAGGGTTGTGAGTTCATGCCCCACGTTGGGCTCCACACTGGACATAGAGCCTACTAAAAAAAAAATTTTTTATTTTTTTTTTTTTTTGCTTTGATTGCTTCCCTCAGCAGGGAGTTTCTGTGGGCCAACGTGAGAACATTTTTTTTTTTTTTTTTAAAGATTTATTTATTTATTTGACGGAGAGAGAGAGATCACAAGCAGGCAGAGAGGCAGGCAGAGAGAGAGGGGGAGAAGCAGGCTCCCCGCTGAGCAGAGAGCCCGATGCGGGGCTCGATCCCAGGACCCTGAGATCATGACCTGAGCCGAAGGCAGAGGCTCAACCCACTGAGCCACCCAGGCGCCCCACGTGAGAACATTTTTATATGATTTTCCATCCAAGGCTCCATTTATTGGATGTCTCAGGGTTGGAGTAAAAATAAGAGAAGAGGGGCACCTGGGTGGGTCAGTCACTGACCCACTTGAAATTGAAATTGAGTACGCCACTCAATTTCAGCTCGGGTGTTGATCTCAAGAGTTGTGAGTTCAAGCCCCATGGTGGGTTCCACAATGAACAGGGAGCCTCCTTTTAAAAGGGGAGGGGTGGCACCTGGGTGACTCTGTCGTTTAAGCCTCTGACTCTTGATTGCAGCTCAGGTCACCATCTTAGGTCCTTAAGATCCAGCCCCCTACGGAGCTCTGTGTCAGGCTCCGCACTCGGCGAGGAGTCGGCTTGTCCCTCTCCCTCTGCTCCTCTCTGCCCACCCCCTTTGACAACTAGGTGCTCTCAAATAAATAAATAAATCTTTTTTTGTTTGTTTGTTTTTTCCTTTTTTTAAAGAGAGGAATCACTCAATAATTTTTTTCTTTTTTTTTTGTTTATTTTTAGTAATCTCATACCCAATGTGGGGCACAAACTCACAACCGCAAGATCAAGAGTCGCAGGGTCGGGGCGCCTGGGTGGCTCAGTGGGTAAAAACGTCTGCCTTAGGCTCAGGTCATGTTCCCAGGGTCCTGGGATCAAGCCCCACATTGGGCTCTCTCTGCTCAGCAGGGAGCCTGCTTCCCTTCCTCTCTGTCTTTGCCTGCCTCTCTGCCTACTTGTGATCTGTCAAATAAATAAATAAATCTTTAAAAAGAAAAGAAAAAAAATCTTCTTACTGCGCCAGCCAGGTGCCCCTCAATACTTTTATAATGGCCTGTAACAATAGGACCTGTGAAAAAGCTTTCTTTTGAAAATGACCAAATAGGGGTGCCTGGGTGGCTCAGTGGGTTAAAGCCGCTGCCTTCAGCTCAGGTCATGATCCCAGGGTCCTGGGCTCGAGCCCCGCATCGGGCTCTCTGCTTAGCAGGGAGCCTGCTTCCTCCTCTCTCTCTCTCTCTCTGCCTACTTGTGATCTATCAAATAAATAAATAAAATCTTAAAAAAAAAAAAAAAAAGGAAAATGACCAAATAGATTTTAGTTTAGTTTTGCTAATATCTGGTTGCTTTTTTCCCCATTCATGAGCCTCTACCACATGCCTACAAAATGTTTAAATGTGTGAAATTTCCATTTATTTATGAGCAGAAAAGTCATTTCTTAGACCCTAAAGGGTGGCCAGTCAAGTTTAGACTTAATGTGAAAATATTTATGTCTGGGACCTGAATTACAGAAAAGGGGGAATCTTAAGAGTTCATGCTGTCATCTCCTATGTCTTGTTCAAAGGTGTCTGGAGTTCAGGTTCTGGACAATGCTGCAATTCAGTTCTGTGCCCGAAAAGTCTCTGCTCTTTCAGGAGATGTTCGAAAGGCGCTAGATGTTTGCAGGTGAGTTATGGCACTGTTGGCTGCTTTTATTAAAAAAAGAAATGCTGTTAATTGTCTTGTGTAACTCAAGTGAATGTGGCTTAAGAGGCTGCATTCTGCCACTTTTTACACTCAGAAAAGAGGACTTGTTTCTCAGTGGGGAGCTCTGCATTTCCACCGTGTTAATGTCTGAAACATTATCAGTCCATTACCTACAGAGGGAGAAACAAATGAGATGTTGCTGGCACTCCCTGTGGTGATTATAGATTGGTTAATTACATTTGTATTAAAAAAGACTCCAGTTTACTTTTCCATTAGCTGATCTCAAGCAGGTTTATTTATGGACCTGAACCATCTTTGCCTTTAGACTTTTTTTCCCTTCCTTTGCTTTTGTGAGCACCCCTTCCTCCGGTTGGTGGTCCCCCACACTTGTACTCCAGACCTCTCTCTCCCCCTTCCCATCCTCTGCCCCTCCTGCTGGGGAAAGCCTCTGTGCTGACTGATGAAATCTCTTCCTTCCCAGTAGGGACGCTGGGTCCATTAAAATGATACTTGCCGTGTTGGCCCGCTGGTCCAACCTCCCCCTACTGCCATGCAAAAGATCCAGGTCTGGCTTATGGCTTCCTGTGGGCAAAGTGCTTTGGAGACAGCAGTGGGAGAGGAAGCTCTTCCTATTGCTAGATGGCATGATCCTGGATTTGAAAGTTTCCCCTAGTCAGCAAACTACTTGAGTAAAGACTGCAGCTATGAGCAATGGTCATGTAGGCTGGTGTGGTGTAGCCTACACATATCATATGTATATAGAACTGAGGACTCCCCTTTTAGGTCCAGTGTGTATGGGTGGTACTGGCTCTCTCTGTAGGCAGTCACCCACCCACATAGCCTCTCTGCTGTCCATGACATTTTTTCCTCCTTCAAAATGTTATTATTGGCTTAATGTATGATGACCTACTTGGCATCTATAAGAGGAAACCATACAGTGCTGAAAGTTTCTCAGATTCCCTGGTCTGTGAATTGTTTCAAGGCAACCAAGTCCCCTTTAGCTGAGACATAACCCAGTTTTGTTTGGGGGCTTTAAAATGATAAAACATGTGTCTTTTTTCAGCTTGGTGGTTTGGTGTGGTGTTTGGTTTGGCCCAGCATAAATTAATTTTAGAAATACTTTTTTATAGGAGAGCTATTGAAATTGTAGAGTCGGATGTCAAAAGCCAGACTGTCCTCAAACCGCTGTCTGAGTGTAAGTAGTTTATCACTTTCCCGTCTTCCTTTATAATTGGAAGCTTAACTTTTCTGAGAAAAGAGGTAGAAAGACGAAATGAATGTAGTTAAATCCATACTTACCCTTTTCTGTATGTCTGTTTTTTGTCAGTTTCATCTACTTTATTTCTGTCTGGCCTCCCTGTCCTATAGTCCATGCAGGCTGGAAACAAGTTCCCCAGGGTGTTACATAAAAGGCTGGATCATAGTAAGTTTTCTTTCTAAGCTCTCGAAATGAAAATTGTGGACAGTAAGGCTTGTTCAGCTTCTCTCTGGGTTCTTCTTTTGAGTTCACTTTAGGTCTTGAAGTAGGTGAGAGGAAAGTAAATAAGAGTCAGACAGTGAAAGAATCCGGTTCAACTTGGGATATCTCAAGCCTTTAGCCAAGTCTAGGAGGGTGGGGGTACGAAGATGATGTTGCTACAGTAGGCTGTTAAAAAATGACAAAATGAGGGGCGCCTGGGTGGCTCAGTGGGTTAAAGCCTCTGCTTTCGGCTCAGGTCATGATCCCAGGGTCCTGGGATCGAGCCCAACATCGGGTTCCCTGCTCAGCAGGGAGCCTGCTTCCCTCTCTCTCTCTGCCTGCCTCTCTGCCTACTTGTGATCTCTGTCAAATAAATAAATAAAATATTTAAAAAAAAATGACAAAATGATTTTCCTTTCTGTTAGCCTTGTTCTCTTAGTCATGGCAGAGGTAAAATGGCCATGAACTACGTATCTTTTCAGTATTTAATATCCAGTGTTAATCTTTAGAAACAGGACAGTCTGATTTGATTGTTTCTTTCCTCTTTCACTCCTGCACTGGTTCAAGAGTTATCATAATTGTTTCTAGGACTACAGTTCCATAGAAAACATTTTCTCTCTTCCTTTCTTTCTACTTTCCTTTCTTTTCTTTCTTATCAATTTGTTGAAAGAAAATTAATAAAAATATTTCAGAAGCAGCCAAACTGACTGCTTAGGCTGACGGTAGGTAATATATACCAGTGCATAGATGAGATACTGGTTTCTCTTTTTTTTTTTTTTTTTTTTAAAGATTTTATTTATTTATTTGACAGAGAGATCACAAGCAGGCAGAGAGGCAGGCAGAGAGAGGAGGAAGCAGGCTCCCTGCTGAGCAGAGAGCCCGATGCGGGGCTCAATCCCAGGACTCTGAGATCATGACCTGAGCCGAAGGCAGCGGCTTAACCCACTGAGCCACCCAGGCGCCCCTAGATACTGGTTTCTCTTTAACTTTTCAGATTATTCCCGTTTCTCCTACCAGTGACATTTAGGCTTGTCAGTGTTCCTGTGAGCGCGGCTGGCACACACGTAGCTAAAGGAGGTTGTAAGTTTCTGGCATAAATTATTAGACTAACCTAATTCCTATCTTTTGACCTCTGGTATGTGTTATTAGATTTGGATGGTTCTAGAAAGCTATACGGAGTCTGACTTCAATTAAATACAAGAAGGCACTTTTTTTTTTAAGAGAAGGGGAGAGAGGGAGTCCACCAGTGGGGAGGGGCAGAGGAAGAGAGAGAGAATCTTAAGCAGGCTCCACACTTCAGGGCTTGATCTCACAACCCTAGCCCAAATGAAGAGTTGACGCTTAACTGACCGGGCCACCCAGGCGCCCCAGGATGGCACTTTCTAATAAATAGCACTAACTGGGTTTCTTTGACACATAGGCGGGTTCCCTAGCTTTGAAGCTATTCAAACAAAAGCTGAATAGATGATCACTAGTTGGGATTGTTTTGGGTAGGGAGCAAGAAGAGAACTCTAAATTCCTTTCAGCTTTAAGATCGGTGATCAGTGATCTCTAGTTTTCCCACTACCATTAGTTCTTTGCAGCATCCTGGTTATGGTAATGAAATAGAAGCAGATTGCTTTGGGGCAACTGCTCGAGGTCTGAGGAAGTAATTGAGGCAAAAGTTGTTACAGAGCAAATCCCTCCTCTGTCTTGCAATTCATGCATCTCCAAACAATGAGGCCATAGTCCTAGGCATCTAGCTGGCAGTTCCCCAACCTCCGGCCTCTGAGATGGTGCTATCTGCTAAGATATCCAGTGACATTTTCTCAAGTGTTGCTCTGTTGTGGATCGTCTTAGGCAAGTGAACCAAACCTCAAAGGTCATTTGGAGAAGCTATCTAGAGGACTTATGTAGGATTCACTTTTCTGTCCACGTTTAGTCACTCATTTCACTTTTTTTCCTTTCTTGATGACCAGGCACACTCATCTTTGCTTCAAGGTTCTGTACTTTTCATCTTCAAGATATTAAGAATTTCCAAGGCAGAATACAGTAGTCCTCTGTCTAGTCCTCCTTCTTTCATGAGGTGGATTTTGCCTCTCTGACATTAAATTGCATTTTACAGGATGAAATAGCCTACCATTCTGCGCAGAAAAAGGATAACCCTATTTTCCAAGTCATCATCTTTCTGAAGATAGATAGCACTGTCTCCCATCCTTTGGCTTCTAGTTACAGAGTTGGAACCTCTGCTTTGGCACCACATGACTGCACTTGAATCGCCTTCAACTAAAACTTAGCATCATCTGTCTCGATGTACACAATACTTAAAAAATCTAAGGAAGCCTGATTTATTTACTTTTTAGGCAAATCACCCTCTGAGTCACTGGTTCCCAAGCGGGTTGGTCTTATTCACATATCCCAAGTCATCTCAGAAGTTGATGGTAACAGAATGACTTTGAGCAAAGAAGGAACACAAGATTCCTTCCCTCTTCAGCAGAAGATCTTGGTCTGCTCTTTGCTGCTCTTGACCCGGCAGCTGAAAATCAAAGAGGTCACTCTGGGGAAGGTGAGTTGAGAATTCCAGCAGATGGAGCTGGGGTGGAGATGAGAATGCTTTGCGGAGCAGATATTGTCCGAAGGGCCTATTATTATGCTCCAGCTGACAGGAATTAAAAGTGGGTTTTTAACAGTAAGAATAAATGCCGGTCCCGTATAAAAGGCAACTGATTTTATTTCCTTTGGGTTGTGGTTGAGAATTTCCCATTCATCTCCTCCCCTTCATTTCTACCTCTCCCTGTGAAATACATAAAGCTCCTCTCCTGCCTTAGGTTTTGGCAATATCTACAGAATGCCTTCAATGGTTTTATTAGGAAGAGGGAAAATTGTTGTATTCAGATAACTTTTACAAATGCAAATTCACATTTTTAAGAGTCTACAAGGTTGGGGAGCCTGGGTAGCTCAGTGGGTTAAAGCCTCTGCCTTCGACTCAGGTCATGACCCCAGGGTCCTGGGATCGAGCCCCGCGCTGAGCCCCGTTGAGCCCCACATCAGGTTCTCTGCTCAGCGGGGAGCCTGCTTCCCCCTCTCTCTCTCTGCCTGCCTCTCTGCCTACTTGTGATCTCTGTCAAATAAATAAATAAAATCTTAAAAAAAAAAAAAAAGACTCTACAAAGTTACAAGAGATAGAAGTTTTAAACAACTTTTGTATTCTCCCTTGTTTCTCCCAGTTATATGAAGCCTATAGTCACGTCTGTCGTAAACAGCAGGTGGCAGCTGTGGACCAGTCAGAGTGTTTGTCACTTTCAGAGCTCTTGGAGGCCAGGGGCATTTTAGGATTAAAGAAGAACAAGGAAACCCGCTTCACGAAGGTACAACTAACTGCCTCTTTGATAATGCTTTTTTAATTGTCCTGTTTTGGAGAGCTTATCTGTTTTTGTTAAAGATTTAAACATGACCACAGTTAGGTCAACAATTTGTTTTTTGTTAGATAGAGTTCAAGATCTGTGAGGATGGGACTGGTAGGAAGGAGGTATTTTCTGCAGGCCATTGAAAAAGCGGTGTTTAACTTGCTTGCCTCTTGGGACGAAAGTTCAACATGATAGAAGTTTACATAATACAAACTTGGCTTTTGTGAGTTCTCCACCGTGAAAAGTCTTTTTCTCTTCTTTCCAGGTGTCTTTGAAGATTGAGGAGCAGGAAGTAGAGCATGCTCTAAAAGACAAAGCTTTAATTGGAAATATCTTAGCTACTGGATTGCCTTAAATTCTTTTCTTTTATAGTAATATGCTACCCAGAAGTATCCCGCTGGCATTTAGAGAGCTCTGGAATCTTCATTTTAGTACTTTATCCATTCAGGCCTGAAAACTAATATGACCTTTTTTTTTTTTTCTTTTTTTCATTTTATTTTCTCTTAAATAATCTCTACACCCAGCATGGGGCTCAAACAAAAGTTGCATGCTCTTCTGACTGAGCTAGGCAGGCGCCCCGAAATATGACCTTTTTTAATGGGAAACTGATAAATTTTTATCTGTAGGTTGATGAATATTATTAACACAGAGTAATAATTTTGGGTCTTATTTTTATGCATTAAAAATCCAAGTAGACTCTTTTTAATTATATTCACTACGTCCACATCTTGTGTGTCTCTAACCAGTATGCTCGTATTACAGCATATAGGATTTATATGGTGGACTATGCCTGTATTTACCTCTTAGTTTCTTCAGACATTGGTGTGTTTTATAGAACTTTGGGGCTAGAGTAAGAAGAATGAAAAAGGACGTTCCAGGGAAATAAGCAAGTCTACATGGAGATCTGAGGACACTTTCATCAAAGAATTTCTTTCTTTTTGGAGTATACTGCATTCACGTTGCACATACTTCCACATTGCGACATTTTAAAGACTCACTGAGTTTCTTGGGCACTCCCAAAGGTTGTGGGGGTGGTAAAGGGAATGTAACTGTACGGTCTGTGAATATATTTATTTCCAAGTTGCATTCTTTGTCTTTGTAAGCATGCACATTTCAAGAGAGCTCAAACTTTCAGCAAACAATGTGAAAATTTCCCCCAGACTGTCCCACAGTCTTAGCTGCTCTCAGATGAAGCCACTTGTTTCCAGATGCCTTCATTTGGGGTTGGATTTTTCATCTAAACCTCAGATTTTTCCGGTCTTATTAGATAAATTAATCCATATGGCTACTCAAGTCTCCCCTTTTCTGGGTTTGGTTTCCAGTGGCATTCAATGGTAATTTGTGGTGGGGACACCAGAGGGCACCATTATAACACTGACAGCCTTGAATGTGCAGGCAGTGGGGTTGGGGTAGTTTTGAGGGAAGTGGAAGAAAACTTAACTCTGATCCTTTGGGGAGATGGCTGTACTTTTAGGACTCAAGCAGATGCTTGGAGTGCAAACCATATGTGATAGGAAATGTCCGAGAGCCAGTGGCCAAGTCTGTGCCGCTCCCTGAGCTCTGGCCTCTCTGACATGTCTTGAGTTTAGGAACTTGATATTGCACAAATGATCTGTTGGCCACTGTTTCATTCATGCTACCCACTGTATCCTTGCAATGTGATCTGGACCGCAGCAGATGGTATGGGATAGAAGGACACACAGAGAGAGCCCTCTGAAACGGACACCACCCTCCAGTGGGTGTGGCAGAGCAGAGTCTGCAGCCTAGTCCAAGGTCTGAGTCTGAATGTTCTCGCCCTGTCACCTTGACTAAGAGCACTCACTCCCCCTGAGGGTCACTTTTGAGTGGAAAACAGTCCATACCTAGAAGCCCAAGAGTGTCTGGGGCTACAAGGGTTAACAAGCATAATTGCAAAGATTGTCCGAAGGCTGATGGAAAGCAGAGACTGAATGGGATTGAGAACAGATGCGGGGCTTGATTTAAATTACATTTTATTGGATGCTGCAGCCTTAAGAGACGTGACTGCTTTACAGTTTGTTTCCACACTGTGGGCAGCTGCTGTCTGTTCTGCGTCCACAGTAGGATCCTGCCCAGAAAGGAGCGGCCTCCCCACCTCGTTGTGTTTGAGGCTTGGCGCCTTCCTCTTAACTGTAGGGCTTGAGTCAGGAACATGGCTTGACTCGCAGTGGGGCTGCTATGTATCCTCCATGGCTCAGAGCCAAGATCGCATTTACAGATTCAAAAGGGCCAAATTTCTTTCCCCTCTACCTCTTTTCTCTCCCTTTCCCCTGGTATTTGGAAATAGGGTTTTCTCTCGACTGGGTTGTTGGTTTCCTTTCCTTCAGTTCTCCCCCCACTGTCAATTTCTAGGTCATTGCTGCTCTTAAGACTTCAGCAATTGGAACAGGGTTGGTTCTGTCAATGATGCGTGAAGCCGACTTAGAGTCCCTGCTTGGCTTCCGCTGCCCTTGTGGGAGCAAAAGCTGATGTATGTTTGTCAGTGAAGTCTTAAGTGTAATGCAGACAGCCAGGGAGCAGACAGAAGAGGAAGAAAAGTCCTTTTCTTGCTGGCTTTTCTCACTGAAGCTGAGAGCTATGGGAAGGTAGTGGGATTTTTAGAGGGATGGGCTGGGCTTGTGGTTACTAGTTTCTGCCAGGATTGTAGCTGGTTTTCACACAGAGTAGAGGCAAAGATGCTGACCCACATTCTTCCTCTTGAAGGTGGTGGGATATATGTCTATATCCTGATTTATTTTTCTTCAAAGAAGCATAGAGTTTTAGCCGGTATTGCCATGGAAAGAACATACACACGATAAAATTTTGGTGTGAGTTTCAACCCCAGAGCTGCTGCGGACATTTCTGGCTCAGTGAAGACTTGCCTGTGGCTAGTTAACTAACTGGCAAGAGTGTGTGAGGTCCAGGCTTCCCAGAGATCAAAAATGTTGGCAGAGATCTATTTACTACCCGCCCCCCCCCAATCCATTGCTCCCTGCCTTTATTAAGTGCCCTTTTAAGATCTACCAATGAGACCTGGAAGGGAAGATGGAGCTACATCTTGGGGATTTTCAAAAATATCTATTGAGAGGTGTTGCCTTGACTACCGACGGAGACCAAAAGAAAGAGCCAAGTTTGAGATGTTACTTACATTTGTGTCTGTCCCCAGCACTTAGGACAGTGTCCGGGACCTGGGAGGTATTCAGTAAACAATGTTGAATGAACGGACAAATGAACCGTGGAAGGCACTCCCTTTCCCTCCATCTCCAGGTCGGTTCTATTGAGGGGTACACGGTGCCGGTGTCTCTGCACGGAGGGGGAGCGGGGCGCCTGTAAAGGAAGGACGCTGCATCCTATAAGATGTGTCTTGACACATCGTGGAGCGTTTATTGGCCTCACAGATGCGTACCCGTCGTACCCATCGTTCCTTCTGATGTCTTGGCATTTTGCTTGAGGCAACTTCCATGTTGCTTCCAGGAAGCCTTGGGTTTGGGGAGAGAGTCCTAGTCCTACCTACGGGCTCAGAAGATGGGGGCCTGTCTGGAGGTTCCTAGTGTTCCTGGGGATGGGCCAGAAGCTGTGTCTCTTCTTGGCAAGGGATCGGAGAGGAATACGCCTTTGGTGTCCCACCTTTCAACTCTGGAGGAAAGTTGTGATCTCGGGTTCCTCCTGAAAGTGCAAGGTGCCCTCTGATACATTCTCTTGGAAAGCTGCAAACAGTGCAGGTCTCCCTCTTCTCAGAAGTGCAATCTGTAGGGGGAGAAGGTGTGCCCTCTGGCCTCCCTTGATTTTCAACCCCAGCCCCAAGGCACTGGCAGTAGAAGCTAATTGGGTGCAAGAGGCCTGGGTAGAGGCTGTCTGAAGACTGGCTAAAGGAGAGAGCCAGCTCCTTTTTAAAAAAGCTCTAATTGAGTTCTGAATCAGCCTCCCTCTCTTTGATCCCTCCTCTGTTTCCCACACTGCCCTGAAAGAGCCAGATCAGCACTTTATAACAAGGGTGCGCCTGCTCCCCACACGGCCCCCCTCTCCCGACGCTCTCCGCTGCCGCCATCCACTGCTTGTCTCCTTCAGTTAAGATAATGAAGATGCTGAGAGATAAAATGTGTATTTAATAAGGGTGGGGGTAGGGAGGCGGAAAGGGGCAGCCAGGGCCTTCCCTAGTTTGGGGCCTAGCCAAGACTCAAGCTGAAAGCAAAGCTGGAGTAAGACTTGGCCCCAGGGTGTGGGGGTTTCTGGGCCTCAATCCAGCTGACTTCACTGCCTGCTGTTTGCCCTAAATTCCCCCACCTCCACCCTCTCACCCCCACACTCCTTTCTTTCCTCTCTCCTTGCTCCCAATGGGGAAAGGGAATCTTGCTTCTACTTTATTTTCAGCTGGTAACTTGGCCTTTGGTTCGGTGCTCCCCCCCACCCCCCGAGTCAGCTGCAAGGTCGGGCTAGGGCAGCCCCCTCTAGCCTAGGCCTGTAGAAGCCATGGGTTCGCCGTGGGGGGTGAAAAAAAGCTAGAATTAATGAAGACCAGCTGCTAGCCTGGGTTCTGCCCGCAGTTAGCTGGAGGCTGGCCCTTCGTGGTGGTTGGAGGTACTGGGGTGCGTGACCTCCATCCCTGGGCACCAGGATATCCTGTGGCAGCTGAAGCTTGTGCTACTCTGTGAGCTCGATTTTATCCTCAGTTTGAAGAGAGTAGTCTGTTTCCCTGTTGCCCTACTCCTCCCCTCTCCAAATAACACTGGGCCCTTATTGGGCTTTATAACTGTAGTGGTGGCCCAGCTGAGATCTGAGGATCTCCAAGTTCTTTTGTAAACACTCATTAACTGCCTGGGAAGAACCAAGAGCCCTGGTTAACAGCTGGGAGGGAACTGAGGCACGTTGGGGAGAAAGGCTTGACCTGAGCTCACCCCATGGACTCCACCCTGGGGCCTCCATCCTTCTTGTTTAGCTCCTTTCCTCAGTTCTCCCTGAAAGATGGAGAAAGAGGTAGATGCAACGCAGCTGCCCTCTCCCCTTCTAGGAAGAGGCCATGCTTTCTCCCTGGCCTTGGGAATCAGTCCCTGATTTCCCCTGGCCCTTCACCCCATGACACTTTCCCTGCTCTGCTGCTGCTGGAGATCTGTGCAACTCTCCTTGCAAAATATTCTCACTCCAGCCCTCTGCAGACCTCCCATCCGCCTTTCTCTGGCCCACCAGACCCAAACCCCGGTGCCTCCTTTGGAGCTGCTGAGAAGCTCGCCTATCCTAAACTGAGTCTGTAGCCTTGAAGTTGATCTAATTGTGCTAAGAGGCCCCTCCACCCCCTAACCCCCTAGATTTACCCCAAATGGTACCTGGGAAAATATTCTCTTTCTTTACCGTATTCACTCTGGTAAAGTTTCAGGATCCTATTCAGGGCTGGGTAGTGGCACTAGGGCCCTAATTGACCCCTAGGTTCTGAATCATTCTTCCACTGACAATTGCTCTTTCTAGTGATGGGTGTAACTCAAAGTCCCCCAGCTCTACCTGTTCACACTCTCACCTGTATGTGCATGTCTGCCCACTTCGGCACACTCCCAGGTCCACCACCCCCGGCCAGGGTATGAAACTCGACCAGTCTCAACTGCTATCCATGTTTCGCCGCCCTGTTATTTGCTGGGGGGTGGGGGGAATCCCCCTCCTCCTCCTCCCCTGGGTGGCCTCCTAGGTATTTAGGAATAGTGGGAGGGAGATCCAGAGACCATGCTATGTCTATGAGGGGGTGGGTAGGAGTGAGTACCTGTCCAAAATGAATGCCTCTATCCCCAAATTCTCAATGGCTAGGTGGCTCAGCAGGAGTGCTAAGGAGATCTTAACCCCCATCTTCAGCACCAAAGCCCAAATCATCCGCTGGGGATGGGCAGAAAGAACTGCCTTTTTCCTCCTGTCAAGTATTATCCTATCCTTGGCTAAAGTCATTCCCTGTGCTGTGTATTTGAGACTGAGGACTGTTCCGGTCCCCAGCCCGTGACTCAGATCGCCGGCTTTCTCCCAGTGAGTTCCTTCTGCCCCATCAGTCAGCTCTGCACCCGCTG